TTTAGATTGGACTGAATTTATTAATGTGAAGATCAAGATTCTTATTTTGGGAGGTGATTTTGAGTAACCAAAGGTTCTGTTTGCTCCGTTTGTCGACTGAGTCTTGGTCGAAATAGTGATGTATGGAACAAAGCTCCACGATGCTACAAACCCCTGGGCTAAACTGGAAGAGAAGCTGGGGTCCCAGGCATGTTTCTATACGTGATGTGTCCATGATGCCATAAACTCCTGGCTAAAGTGGAAGAGAAGCTGGAGTCCCGGGCATGTTTCTATATGTAATGTGTCTCCCTCCCACTCTCTCCAGAATTCCCACCATAGACCGAGGCAGGATAGAAAAACAGGAAATTTGGGGACTTAAGAAAGAACAGAAGCCATGCAGGATAGAATCCACTGGAAGCTTCTTGCCAGCAGGAGAGCAAGGATAGAAGCAAATTTTCCACTGCTTATGCCTTCCTCCCATCCCTGCTGGAGACTCCTAGGGATCTCACCAGAAACTCATTTACAGAAAATAGACATGGACTAAACTCTTTGTATAAACTTAGTGACTCCTGGTTTTAGACATCACTAGAGCCACTTCACTCATCTCTGTTATCAAAAGGGACAGAGGGGGAAGGGGAAGGATAAGGTACCTTAGCAACCCGTAGAAATATAACTTTGATAGCCACAAACAAACAAACAAGCAAAACGTAGATATGGCTAACATAAGGCAATTAGTTGCAACCCTTCCTTGAGGATCCCTGGCTATTCTTGGGTATGTCTAACCCTCCCTAATTCTCTCTTATGTGAGGAGCCCTTACTCACACTGTCCCTTGGGAAGCAACACGCACTTGGCTATGTCTCCTTTCTCCTCACCCCTCATGCTTAAGCCTATGTTAAAATGTCTTCTATAAAACCTCCAATGTGCTTCAGATTGGCCGGGCCTGAAATTCTGTTTGTGTGTCGAAGCCACAAATTGTAGTTCAGCCTGAGTCCCCAAAAGGTTAAGGGAACCCCTCAGGCCTCTGTGGGTGGCAGCATAGAGCTGGATCTCTGTCCCATGATTGCTGACTGCCTGGAAATCAATGTGAAATCATCGAGAAATACACACCTTCATTTCTGAGAGCTGCTGCCACAGTAGAAACAGTGCTGAAATGGGCTTTCCGGTTTCAGCGTGTGGGTGGGTGGGTGGCAGGTGGGGGTCGTGATAACAGTTCCAGAAGTTTTATTTCATTTAAAACATTTTTTTCCATTATGTTCATATTTTCTTTAAAATCTTCAAGCACACACGAACATGTTTATATGAGCTAGTTTGCCATTTTGTTAACTATCACCTCTGTCCTTCCTGGGTGTGTTTACATTGATCCATTTTCCCCCCTCGTTATAAGTCTTGTTTTGTTACCTTTTCACTTACATTTTTTATTAAGCTCTGGCCACTGTAAATAATACATTATTGACAGGCTGAATTCTGTTGTTTTCCTTTGGAGTCTATTGCGTTTGGACAGGCAGCAGTTTGTGGGGTCACCATGGAAATTCTAGTACTTTCTTTTAAGGCTGTGCTCTGGGTCTTTAACCCTGTGGTGGTTTGGATTGGAATGGCCCCCATCAGCTCACAGGTTTTTAAGCTTGGCCACCAGGCATTGGTGGTATTAGGAGGTATGGCCTTGCTGGAGGAAGTGTGTCACTGGGGGTTGGCTTTGGGGTTTTCAGAAGCCAAAGCCAGCCTCGGGACTCCTTGAATGAAGGGGATTTGTTAGAGTTGTTTACAGGCTGTCGTCTGGCTAATGCAACAATGACTAGCTTTGAATGGAAAGTCCAAGAATCCAGAATTTCCTCAGTCCATTGGGCTGGATGGCTGGTGCGGTGAAAGCAAGCAGGCACAGAGCAAAAGCTTCATTCTTTCATGTCCTTATATAGGCTTCCAGCAGCAGGCGTGGCCCACATTAAAGGTGTTTCTTCCTGTTTCAAGATCCAGGTTAAACACATGTGTCTTTTACTTCAAATTAAGCAAAATTGCTGGTGTGCCCTACATTATTATTATTATTTATTATTATATTATTATTATTGAGACAGGGTTTTTCTGTGGAGTCTTGGCTGTCCTGGGCTTGCTTTTTAGACCAGGCTGGCCTTGAACTCACAGAGATCCACCTGCCTCTGCCCCTCTGAGTGCTGGATTGAAGGCTAGCGCCACTGTGCCCAGCTTCCAGACACAGTCAAGTTGACAACCAAGAATAACCATCACGAACGCTATTGCCAAGCTGTCACCTTGTCATTCCTTCTCAGCAGAATGCTCTAGGCTCTGAATGTGCCCTTTGAGCTGTCACACATAAGCATCTCTCAGCCTTGCAGGAACTCTGGAGGTTACTGTTCTCACAGCTCTCCGACAGTTAATCCTTTGCCTCCACCTTCGGAGTTACATTCTAAAAACTGCTCAGCCCCAAAGAGACCTCATGTGGCTCTCTAGAACTCACCCTTGCCCTGGCTAGTGCCATCCTGTACTTTCCGCCCCACAAGCACCAGTTGTCCTGATGCGTGGTAGTTTTTTTGATTGTAAGTCCGGTGTGGTCGGCCTGGCTTCTCTCTAGCAACCTGTGCTGGATTTCAGTAATTGCCAAGAGGTGGTTGCCAAAGTCCTGGCAGCTGTAGGGCTTTCCTCTCTCGTTCCCCTTCTCCTGGGGGTTACCATCCTTCACCGCCAGCATCACCACGATTTCTACATGGATTCAGATGCTGCCAATGTGGGTCTTAAAAGGTGGTTAGACTGCAAAGGCTCCACCTTTGGGAACGGGATCAAGGCTCCTATAAAGGGTTTATACACAGCTCAGCCATCTTGCCCTTCTATCTGCTGTCACGTGCCTGCTTTGGGGTGGAAGGCAGATGCAGGTGCCATTTGGAAAGTAGACATCCAAGCCTGGCGATACCTTCTGTGGGGCTCCCCAGCCTCTGGACTGTATGAGATAAATACAGAAACATTTTAAGTAACCATTCTAGCTAATTCCTGGATACCTTTATTGACACTGTAATTGTTCTTGTTTGCCTGTCTGTTGCTGTAATAAATACCCTGACCCAAAGCAACTTGGTGAGAAAAGTGTTTATTCCATCTTTCCAGTCACAACCTATCATTGAGGGAAGTCAGGACAGGAGCTCAGACAGGAACAGAGGCAGGAACCATGGAGGAATGATGCTTTCTGGCTTGCTCCCTGGCATATGTCTGCCTACCTTTTTTTTTTTTTTTTTTTTTTTTTATACAACCCAGGCCCATCTGCCTAGGGGTGGTACTAACCATACTGAGCTCCGCCCTTCGATATCAATTAGCAATCTAGAAAATGACTCACAGACAGGCACACAGGACAATCTTAAGGAAGCAGTTCTTCAGCTGAGGTTCCCCCTTCCCAGGCTTTTCAGGTTGACAGCCAAAATTAGTTATCATAATGATCTTGAAGAGTGGTGTTTCATGGTTTTGCTAACACATAGAATGATGAGTTTTATTATGCACACACACACACACACACACACATTGTACTTTTCTGATAACTTCTCCCACTGGTTCCAAATTCCTGTTCATTTAAGTGTACCCAGTCTGTGGTATTCTTCTGCAGCAACGCAGACAAGCTAAAGACAATGTCCTCATATCTGGAAGAAGCCTTTGGCACAGTGTGACAGGTGCTCACAGCGAAGGTTTGTTCGGTATGAGTTGCTGCACAATGGGGGAAGCAGGAGTCTTCTTTTTGGTAATTGTTCCTTTCCTAACTTTTTAAGGATGTTGCCTCGCTTTCGATGCCTGTTTCCAGATGAGACTGGGCATGTTTGGGTGGCATGACTGTAGACCTGGTGCTGATTTCCAAACACAGACCTCTGAGGGTAGATGTTTCCCCCATGGATTCCACTTTAGCTTTACCCAACATGTTTCCCTATGTTGTGCTTTCCTCATTATTCAACTGAATTGTGTCCTGGTTTTCAGCATGGTTCCCTCTTTGATTCATGCAGATCTCCAAGATCAAAACTATTTGAAGGCAAGAAGGTTTTCTTCTCTCTGAGTTTGTTAGTTTTTCAAATCATGAACAGATGTTGGCTTGTGCTGAATGCTTTCCTTCATGGTTTGAGGTGACCACAGAGCTCCTTTCTTTCCCTTTCTATCTCCACTTGGGTCCAAGCCCTGTCCCAGCAGTGTGTATTAAGGTCAAGGCTGGGGCTTTCCTTTCTTGCCTCAGTCCCAGAGAGCAGGGATGGAGCCCTCCCCACCCCCATCCTCTCAGGTCAAACTGATGCCTTTGGGATTTTCCATGAGGAGCCTACAAGAGGTCCATGACAGCATCCTGTTGATGTATTATTCTTTTGCTTATAAAACATCCCCTTTTGTGTTTATCCAAGAACTCTAGGGCATCAGTAAAGAAAGGATGTTGTAATGAAAGTGATGAGGAGGAAAGCTCATGCTGATCTGAACTCGGATTTGCAGCAATCCTATGAAGTGGAGTTAATCCACTTGTTGGACAGAGGCTCCGAAGAGGGTAGAAGCCTTGCTGAAGTCAACGGTGTGAAAACTGGACTTTACTTTGGGGGATGGGGATGGGGCTCAGTTGGTAGGGTGCTTGCCTAGCATCCAGAGACCTCTGGGTTCTAAGGCAGCATGAACTATTTATAGTGTTGCACACTGGTAATCCCAGCATCAGGGAGGTGGGAGGAAGAGGATCAGTCTCTAAAAATTGAGTTCACAGACAGCCTGGGCTACATCGGACCAAATGTAGAAAAGAAAACAAGAGGAAAAGAAACTCCATTTGCTTTCTCCTGACAGAGAAGTGAGACCTACATCACACTTCATTACTCCCGCACTTCCTTTTTCCACCCTTGGATTCCCAGTGATGATGTCTCCAAGTCTGGCTCCTCACTTCCAGCTTCCACAGTGGAAGGCTCTGCAGCCCTTAGACTACGCTTAGAGACCTTGTGGGTACTCCGAGGCTGAGTGCCCACTGCTGTGAGGGTTGGGCGTCTGAGGGCCTCACTGCTCGGATCCTGCTTGTGTTGAGATGGGCGCAGCCCTGCTGCCTGGGCTGCTCCTTTCCCTGCCTCTGGTAACAGGGTGAACCACTTCCGAATGCCTACTGACTGAAGGCTCTCGACTGCCCCTGGCCTCCCGCTACTTCTCATTCTGCTCAGACTCTGAGCTGTCTCTCCTAGCTGCATGCAATCTTGTGACCAACTTAACGAAGACCTTGGAAGCTGTGCCTCGGACTGTGGAGGGGCTCTGGCTCAGTGGTTCTGTGTCTATACTGCTTCCTGATGCTTTCTCTGCTTTCCCTGACTCAAGGTCCTGGCACTGAATCTGCATCTTACCTGACTCCTGCCAGTAGCTCTCCGGGGCCTGGGAAAGTTGCAGAGACTCTCCTTTTGGGAGCAGCCATTTAAGAAGAGATCTCTCGTTCTACCTCCCAATGCCTTTGGTGACCTGATTTCCCTCCAGAGACTCTGTATCTTAGGCTACTGCCTGGACAGGAAGGCAGGTATCCAACTGCCTCCCAGTCTGCAGTCTGTCAAGTTCAATTGCCTCCAGGATGTGGGCGAGCTGGCTGGCAAGTTCCCGGATCTGGTGCAAAGCCCCTGCTCCAGGGCTCCGTGGACTCTGCCCATGTTGGATCTGTCATTCAACCGGGGACTGAAGATGGCTAGTCCTGGGTCTCTCCAGGGTCTCCAGGTAGAGACTGTGAACCTGAAACGAACACAACTGGAGGCAGTGGCAGTGAGGGCCCTGGGACTTCAGAAACTCAATGTCCTGTCTGCGTGGACTGCCACGGCTATGGCCCACCTTGAGCTGCAGGGCCTGAGTGTGGGAAACACCAAGATAGGGTCCATATCCCAGGAGGCCCTGGCTTCCTGCCACAGCCTGAAGACCTTGGGTCTTCAAGCCACTGGCCTGACTAAGCTGCCACCAGGCTTCCTGGCTGCTATGCGGAGGCTCCAGAGGCTGAACCTGGCCAGAAACCGACTGCACAGCACCACGCTGTGCATGAAGGAGACAGGAGACGTGTCCGGACTGGTGGCTCTGAATCTGGCGGCAATGGGCTGCGCATCCTGCCTCCGGCCACCTTCTCCTGTTTTCGAAGGGTGCTGCTTCAGGACAACCAGCTGCTTTCCCTGGATGGGCAGCTATTCCAGGATCTGCAGCAACTAGAGACCCTGAGCTTGGATACGAATCCCCTGCTTACTCTGGCTGGGAACTGGTTGGCTGCTCTGCCTGCACTAACCACCCTCAGTCTGCTAGACACCCAGATATCTGTGAGCCCAGGCCCTGGCTTCTGGGGAGCAAAGAGTCTGCACGCCTTGAGTCTGAAGCTTCCCGCTCTCTCTGCCCCAGAAGAGCTTGGATGCCTTCTGCTCCCAGGAGACCTCCGACGTTTTTCTCTGGCAGCTCCCCAAACTTCAGTCCTTGAATATATGGGGTGCTGGAAGCAACTTCAGACCCTGCCTTATCCTCGGGCTGCCCAGCCTACGGGAGCTGAAGCTGGAGTCACTTCAGTCCCAAACCCAGCCCCGTTCAGTAGAGCTGGAGGAGCTGGTGGGCGAGCTTCCACAGCTCCAGGCATTACAGCTGTCCCTCACAGGGCTCAGGTCACTGTCCGCTGCGGCTTTCCAGCTCCTGCGCGGTCTCCAGGTCTTAGCGCTGTACATGGAGGGAGGCTTGGCGCTGTGTGACAGCCTGAGGGAGTACGGCCCTCAGATGCCCCAGCATATATACATTCTGCAGTCAAACCTGGCCTGCCAGTGTGCCAACGCATGGCTAGAGCGTGGGTTAAGCAGTCTACTAAGACGTACATGTACATAGAAGGGCATCACTTCTGTCCTGCGGAAGCAGCGGGCCCTGCTAAGAATTCCCTTTTCTCCTTCCTCTGGGAACGCTGCCCCCAGACCTTGGAGCCGAGCCTCTTTTTGGCTAGGTCTGCCTTGGTGTTTCTGCTGATTGCCTTGCCACTCCTCCAAGAAGCCAGGAACTCTTGGATCCCCTACCTGCAGGCCTTGTTCAGGGTTTGGCTCCGGGGTCTGAGGGGTCAGGGAAATGAGGTAAAGAGGTTCCTTTCTGATGTTTTCGTGTCTCACTGCAGAAAAGACCAGGACTGGGTGATGGAGGAATTTCTGCCTGTGCTGGAGGGCTTCCTTCCGGCTGGCCTGGGCCTACGCCTCTGTCTCCCTGAGCGAGACTTTGAGCCCGGTAAGGATGTGGTTGATAACGTGGTAGACAGCACGGGGAGCAGCCGGATCACACTCTGTGTGCTGAGCGGCCAGCCCCTGTGTTGCCCCCGCTGCCGCCTGGAGCTCCGTTTGGCCACCTCTCTCCTCCTGGCTGCCCCTTTTCCACCAAAGTTGCAGCTAGCGTTCCTGGAACCCATTTCCCAACACCAGCTCCCCCGTTTCCACAGAACGGCTCGGTTGCTTCGGTGGGGAGACTACTGCCTGTGGCCGGCGGAAGATGAAAGAAAGAATGGTTTCCGGGCTTGGCTGAGGGACAGGCTACGGCGACTGGGGTTGGGATAGGATGGCACATGTGAATTTTAGGGTTGGGGTAGGGGAAGCAAGGCAACCTGGCAGGGAGTCACTGTGAGTAAGGGGACACCGTGGGATAGAGTTGCGGAAGTCAGCCTTTTGCAGGTGCGTAAATGCAAATGCTAGGAACAGAGGTTTGGGGAGGCCTGGAGGTTGAATGAGGAAAGCTGAGAGATGGAAGGTGCCCATGGGGTATGTGACATTCTCAAGGTCTTCAAATCTGCAGTAAACTTGCTAAACTGATGAAATGCTTAGCCTGAGTGAACTTTTTATTTAGTGGAAATGCAAGAGGCAGAGGGCAAAGGGGAAAATAAAGTTGGGAATTCATGGGACATATTGGGAAGGAGGGAATGCCTTTTTAAGCTATGGAGCTTGGGACCAGGCCAAGTTCAACCTGATTTTCAAGAGGCCAGTGGGTCCTCTTGCTTCTAGGGTCATAGACAATGATTTAGTTTCACTTCTGTTGCTGTGAAAGAACACTTGGACCAAAATAAACATGAAAAGAAAGAAAGAAAGAAAGAAAGAAAGAAAGAAAGAAAGAAAGAAA